GGGCCATGGTTTGGTTTTAAAGAGACCCTGTCACTTTGCTCAGAATGGCAAGATAACAGAGCTTCCTAATACAGTATTCCATATAACAAAATTATTTTGATGTTGTTCAATAAAATCTAAAATCTTTCTCTAAAATCCTTCCCTCTGGAGGGTGTCTACTGTTTTCCCCCATGGTTCCTGTGTGTGTTGTTTAACTTCAGTGGGTACAGCGGCCACATCTAAGTGGGACACCTGATATTCCTGTCACAAGAATCTGTATGTTTCTGCTACAGGAATGCCAGAACGTCCTGTGTAATGAGGCCTAATTCTTTAACCGTGCCACCAATAAAGCTGGGAAAATGGAATTTGCAATCACACAAGGGGGGATAATTTAAAATACTACAGGGGTTTATAATTTGTAACCCCACTTTCCCCGGCTTCACTGCTGTGGCAATGTTATTTTAAGTTGTTCTTACACTGCCACACCAATGAAGGATTACACAGTGCAATACTGTATAACCCACTTTCCCTCATTTCTTTGGCAGTGTGGGTGGGTGCACAGAGCGGGTTGCAGTGTGGGTGGGTGCACAGAGTGGGTGGGCGATGTGGGTGGATGCACAGAGTCGGTGGCAGTGTGGGTGGGCGCACAGAGTCGGTGGCAGTGTGGGTGGGCGCACAGAGTCGGTGGCAGTGTGGGTGGGCGCACAGAGTGGGTGATGTGGGTGCAAAGAGTGGCTGGGTGCACAGAGTGAGTGGCCAGTGTGGATGCACAGCATCTCACCTCTCTTCCTCTGGCCAGTTCTAAGGGCTTGTTCACAACACATACAGTGCGTTCCAGCGCGGTTAGCTGATGGAACACACTGTATCGCACAGTAAACTCCTCCCTGTGTTCTGGTGCATGCAGCATTTTTTCCAATTGCACTGGATCGCAACACAGGCACTGATGTGCCATGCATTCTGGTGCGGGCTTTTGCACTGTGGGCAGGGGGGCGTGGCTGTGATGCCATTGACTTCAATGCACCACAACACCCCTTCCCGCCCCAGAACGCACGTGAGAGTTTACTATGTGATACAGTGCGTTCCAGCAGCTAACCACTCTGGAACGCACTGTATATGGTGTGTACAAGCCCTAACCCTGCTTTCTCTACTCTAGGAGTCTAGGACCTGACTCCCCCCCTGTCCCACCCCCCTCATTCAGTTACCTTGGAGTGGGAAGGGCGATTTGCACATTAATGAAGCATGTCGGGATTTACATATGAATACCGCGGCTCATTAATATGCAAATCCCGCAATTAGCATATGAATGAGCCGCGGCCAGTGTTAATGGCTCCTGTAGCTCAGTAGATATGAGGACAAGACTGAGAGACTCCGCCCTCCCCCCCGCTCTACACTGTGGCAGGGGAGAGGAGTGCAGGTGTCCTTAGGTTCCGTGCGACTCTGCACAGATTTTAACTTGCGGCCGCATGGAAGTTAAGGATCCCTAAGCCTCCTGCTCCCGACCAGGCCCCCCTCTGTCCCGGGCCCCACAGCGGCCGCGTAGGCTGCTATGGTGGTAGTTACGCCACTGCACCTAAACAAACTTGAGCCATGGTTCTGATTTTATGAATGCAGTTCTGCTCTACAGGGTTACAGTGATATCACACAAATTCACTGGACACAGATGGCATTATATTTACAACTGAATATAACCAAGTGAAATGGCTGCTTGGCATTTAGGAAAGGTCTTCATCTTAGTTCTAAAACGTAGCAGTAAAGTTTAAGTGGAATAACTTTAAATCTTGGCTTAGTAGCTGGCTCACTTTCGTGGAGAATGTGGTTCTTTAGCAGGGGAAGCTTGATGGTTATCTACAATAATTCTCTACATTGTAGGCATATGCTGTGACATCTCGCTAAACCTACTCACTTAATAGCTTTTCTGTGTAATGATCTCTAAAAATCTGCTCAGAACTATTGTGCTCTTCCTTTTGGAAGTCACAGCTGAGGCTGTATAGCTCATTTTATATTGTCTTTACATGTCTTTTTAAAGACACAGGAAGTTGTAAACTGATGCTTGCCATATTTAGCTCTGATCCATGGTGTCTGTTACAAGGGATGTAAATAATTTTGTCATATGATTTTATTATATTCAGGACTATAAATCTCACATTTTGGAAAAAAAATACAATACTAATTTTATTAGGTGCAAAGTTTGACTTTCCCTGAAAAACCATACAAAGGTAAAGAGCACATATTGTAGAACTGCAGCCAAACCTTTTTTAGCTTTGGTAGGAGTGGGAAGGGGTTAGAATCTCGAGTTCTGCCAGCTTCCACCACCTGAAGCTCCATACTGGTGAAGTGAAGCATCCCAACAAATGGGTGGTGGTAAAGTATAGGGTCAAGTAACACCTTTACTAAAAAAGTCAAGATTTGTATATAACTTTAGCAGAATATAGCTATGAATCTTATGGTCAGTTTGATATTTGTTATCAAAATAATTGATACCCATATTTGATATTCATTAAAAATATCCTCTGCTTGCTATAAGAAATGTTAACAGCTTTTATGTTTAACCAAACATAAAAAACATACATTAAAATATATGGCAACCCTAAGTGAATGGCATTTAGTTTGCTGAAGCACTGTGCATCATAAAGGATTGCCATCTTTTTTAAATGCCTGTTTTCACCTTTTTTTCATCCTTTGTTTTTTCTTAGTGTTGCTGTTCTCTTTCAGCCTCTTTGCAGCCACCTTCTGTCTATATGCATGCATTCCAGATGCACCTAGATGTCATAACTGCGGAGTAGCGCATGTATGTCATATACTAGGGATGCACCGATACCGATACTAGTATCGATATCGGTGCCAAATATCGAGTATTTGGGCAAGTACTCGTACTCGCCCAAATGCTCCGATGCCTAGCACGAGTACTTCCGGTATCAGGAAGCCGGGCAGCGCGTCATTACACGCTGCCCGGTTTCGCGATTGACCGGAATCTGGCCTCGTGAGGTAAGGTTACCTTACCTTAGTATGTGCAGCCCGTCATCCCCCGGGGCCTCTCCAGCGAGAATGCGGCCTTCGTCCAGTACCCAGCCCAAGCCGTCCAATCAGGAAGCCGGGCGCCGTCTAATGATGCGACGCCCTGCTTTCTGATTGGCCGGGAAGCTGGCTTCATGCTCCCTCGTCATCTCATGACAAGAGAGCACGGTGCCCGGCTTCCTGATTGGCCGGCTAGACTGCTCCGGCTGGGTACCGGACGAAGGCCGCGTTCTCGCTGGAGAGGCCCAGGGGGATGACAGGCTGCACATAATAAGGTAAGAGGGGACTTTCTTGTTAATCGGGAAGCCGGGGGGCGACTCTTTACACGCTTCCCGGCTAATCAGGAAGCCAGGTGGCGAGTCATTACACGCCACCTGGCTTCCTGAATAGGACTTCCGTTACTCGGTAATTGGTATCGGCGAGTACCAAAAAAAAATTATCGGTACTCGTACTCGGTACCAAAATACCGGTATCGGTGCATCCCTATCATATACCATAACTTACACATACTGACACAAAATCAAATTCAATTGGAAAGGACAACAACACATCTTTATTAACCAATGTCATTATACTGAGCATGAACCAAATTAGAGATATAGGATTCCTTGACAGTCACAGGTATGCTGTGAGCACTATAGCTGAATGCCTGTCATAACTAAGCGCTGGGCAGGCAGTTGACTACTCCAACAAAGCTACTTAAGGGCATAGACCATAGACGTTGTCAGAATGTTGGCAAGGTACCAACTGCCAATAAAGCTGTGACAACTGAAGTAAAATTTGGGACATGTGGCCAGGGAATTCGTTAGAAAGCAGGTATCCCAAGAGGTCAGTGCCTGTAACAGCACTGCAATAATTAGACCCCAGAGCCTCCCGTTTCCCCCATTCATTCACATATCCCATTCAAGCCATCTCTTAAACATTCTCTAAATTCAACATAAGAACAAATCGAATGTTCAGAAAACGGCATTAAAGGCTCCCTTTTACTAGTGCTCATTTCTTAGGTTGTTTTTCCTAATGGTGACAACAGTGAACCATGCTACCCCAATGTGTGTGTGTGTTGAAACAACTAGTTTTAGTTTCCATCAGAATCTGATGTGACAAAGTGACAACACAGGAGCTGAGCTTGGAGGCAAGAACAGAGTGTTGCACCAACTATTATTTTATTCAAAGCTGGAAAGTAAAAAATACTGAAAATGGTGCGATACAATGTGTATACGATGGCTAGGTGCATTGGGTTGGCATTAAGAAATAATGGCACTGCAGTACACCTAACATGGCATGGGGGAGCGGGTGCGGCATCACAAACGCTCCTGCATCTCATAGATATGAATAGAACCTTAGGAAATGCAGTTGTACAGGAATCAGACTGATGGGAACAATGATCTGTAGACATAACTGTGGAAATTTGCTGATCCCCACATGTAGGAGCCACAACCCGTGGAATGCGAATGTGGCTCAGTGTATTTATTCAGGTGTGCTCAACAGGTTCCCTGTTACTGCTACTGTGTGAATAAACCCCAAATGTGGGAGAACTGTAGCCTTTTTCTAGTTTTGGGTAGAGTGTGGCATGGATGGAACGTCTTTCTGATTTGTTTTGCCACCGTTGTTTCTGTTGTAGAGATTTTCCCACACTTCCTGGGTGATCACAAGAAAGGTGGGGGGAAATCTCCAACTGGGATACATACATATTGTAAGAAAAAGACCATTTATGTCTGGTAAGTTGGGGAAGTGGTACAAGTTCCGGGTTACCAGATTTTGTTTTTAACTGTGTTACCAATGCAGAACTTTTTCCTTACTTCCAATATGTTGAAACGTTAAGTGAATGGGAATTTCCCTAACAGGGTCCGAGACATCAATAAAAACCTGGCAAAGTTTCTATTTTATCCCTGGCCAGTTCAAAAGTAAAAAAAAAAAAGATTTATAAGGAGTTCTAGAGTATGCTCTCTCAATGTTTGTCCGCTTTTATATATGTTACTAACCAGCTACCTATTGCTCTGTTTCAGGTTGAAAAAAGATGCACTTTACTTGGTACAAGAAGTCTTTTTTGTAGTTGAATTCATCACATACATTCAGAGAGTTGGGAATTACGATGCTGGATCATAGACATCTCCTGCAGCTTGAAGGTCTGCAGTCATTCATGGACCACAGGATGTCAAAATGAAAAATAAGCGAGGACATATTGTACTATTATTTTTTTGCAATGTATTTATTTCTTCCTCCCTTTTTCATTGCCACACATAACTGCCTAAGAGGAAACCTGTCCAACATATTACTGCCTACATCATATCTTGCCTGTTTTTTTTTCTGTACTGAAAGTGTTAATGTTTTATAACACTGAAGGAGGCACAGGAAAGGCTGCAATTCCTTTGCCTTCTGTAACATGGAGGATGCCAACATTTTCTGCTGAGCTCCAGACATAATGTTAAACCATATGAAAAATGTCTTTTTTACCGTTGAGCAAACTTGCATGACAGAATATCAAGCGTGATACAAGTCGAGCAGAGGATGAAAGTCAAACAAGGAGATCTGATGGTTCTGTTTGGTCAGGCTGATAATTCCCATTTGATGTTTTCTGTCTCTGTGTTGTCAGGAGGATTTGCAATTTTTAGCCTCCGTCTTTGCAATTTTTAGCCTCCGTCTTTGCAACTATCTTGTAGCATCTATTAGCCCCAAAGAAGCTGAAAGACCTTTACACATAAGGATTCTTTATTCATTGGTGGTTGTCTATTCTTCCTCGGTTTCTGTAAATATCAAGAAGTCTTTCTTTTGAAACAGAAGAGAAAAGGAAACGTGGATCTGGATACATAATTGGTAGCTGGATGGCTAATACTACACTTGTTGTTCCAAACAAACAATATATGGCCATTATGAATCAAAGCGGTCAGCTTCATTTTGAGGAGTACATTGCTGTTTGTATATAATGCTGTATTAAATGCTTGTAAGGATTGTTCATATAAAGAGTGTTAAAGCTTGTTAAATAAAGTGCATTATATAATCTGACTCCCATTAGATAAAGGGGGTGGACGGGGGAGATTATAATTGTGTTCATTTGTTTTTTAAATGGAATTTGACTTATCATGTGTGATTGAACCATGAGCCGTTTGTGTCACCAATACTCACCAATGACCATAGCAAGCAATAAGAAGAAATTAAGTAAATATATTGTTTTTGTGGCTATATACTTGTAATAAGGATCTCTGATCTAAACAAAACATTTCTGTAGACTGTACTGGCAAAGCTATTTCTATCCCTAAATATAACCTATTAGTTTTATCTCAGTTTCAGACAGTTTTAGGCTAGCCGTACACACCGTTCGGCCTCATGGCTAGTGAATCACTCGATTTCCCAATCCACTTTAAACAGCATGGATGGAGGAATCCCCCTGCCTACTATTCTATTTGGATAGCTAGCACCCATGGTTGACCAAATGCCAGAACAGTGACTGGACCTATTAAATGCAGTAACTATTTAGCCAATAAGCCGACATGGCCATTCAAGACTCTAATTCGGCAGTAATTGGCCAAAATGTGAGCCGTGTGTAGCTAGCCTTAATGTTCCAGATTGTAAATTGGCTGACCTCCTGACCCCAACACCTAGAATACTTTCCTGTCTGTATCTACCCTGTTCAAGATCATTGGGAATCAGGGGAAGCCATGCTGTTTCTCTGGCAATTACTAGTGTTGTAACTTGATTGACCATAAATCACGGAAAGAAAGGCACTTACTGGTTCAAGGGATCAGAGCTTTTTTATGGCTTTTTCAGACCTTCTCTGCTGTGACATACTAAGAAGTGGCTACATACATGCCCTGTTTTCAGAATTTGTAATAACTGACCAATGGAGAAACCATAAATGCTTTTTAAAATAATGGTATTCTGTAATATTAAGACTTTTTCCCATTTAATTAATTTTATCTTGTTTTGTGATGGCTCAAAAAATACTGTGATGTAGTGACAAAGATTTGCTGTTGCATTTCAATTTTAGTGCATTATAGTATAGACTTTTAATCAAGTTTGCATTCTTTCCTTTTTAGAGAAATATATACCTAAACTGTGTATACTTCCTAATTTCTACTATTGTTATTAAGTTGTATATGAGCTATGTTCAGTCATATACACCAATATAACCACTACTGGGATAGACCCTTGACAGTGTAGGGAATCTTCATTAAAGGAGAACTATGAGGTGAGTGATTTCCACTGAACCTTGTAGTTCGAGCCGACTTGTGACAATTAAACTATCACATGTCGGCTCTATAGATCGGCAAGTTAGCGAACGCATACCGTTGCTCACTCACTTTCCGATCATCTCCCTGCAAAGAGCGGTGACTGTCAGTCACCGCTCCCTGCAGGTATTCCCCCCCCCCTCCCCGCTCCAATCCTCCAGTGCTGAGTGTAGGAACAGATGGGGGAGGGGGCGGGCACAGCTAGATAGATAGGCAGAGCCAGCTGTCACTCACGTAGCTGGGTGGATCGCAACAGCATTTTCAGGATCCGTCCCAGCTGAGGCGCTCTCAGTATATAGCGAGCTGTAGCTCGCCATATACTGAGCTTTGGGTCACGGGAGGATGCTAGTATAAGTGCTCCCATGACCTTTAAGAGAACTATGGGATAAAAAGGTAACCCCATAGTTCTCTTTGAATATAAACTTTTTGTTCTAAAGCTGCCTTTTCAGGAGCATCCATGTATTACTCTGCAAATCAATTGCATTTCACTTTATGCTGAAGGATATATTTATTTTACATGGCAGACCAGTTGTGCATAGCAATCAGTAAAAGCCTAGTATATGATTATACCTGCAACATTATTTCTACCCTAAGAAAATCATGTACCTCAATTGTTTGTGGGACCCAAGTTATTCCTAAACATGAAATTATTTCTCATTGTGGTTAAACCTAGTAAAACGTCTACACTGTCACTATATTGGCCAAAGCATATATAGCTTAAGCAGTTTAAAGCAAGGTAAAGAAGGAGTGAAGGAGGTTTTAGCAATTACTGAGTGAGGCTGTTTGTTGGTCTGGTGTCACATAGGCCTAGTAGACCTAACGTACTCATACAGGACCCAACTTGGGCTGGACAGGAAGGATCAGGATCAGAATATTATATATAAAGTTTTAAACCTAATCAAGTCAACCCGATATAGATAGATGATCAACCAGACAAACATCCCAACTCCGATTCCCACTTATTGCAATCTGTGTCTAAATTTGACTACACAGTCCAATAGGCATCGGAATTTGACCACTCTACACAGTGCACTCTGTATTCTGTCAAATCGATAGAAAACCAGAATACTTAAAGTGGCACTAAACTCAGGAGTTAAATCTTACAAATTAATTCATGTATCTTTAACTATTAACAAAAATGTATCTTATTTGTGTATCACTCAGCTGTAGATCCTCAAATCATCTATGAATGGGTGGTGACACTGTCCTTTCTTCTGGAGGGTGCCTACTTTTGTTCCCCATGGTCCCTGTGTGTGTTGTAAAATAGCCATCACTCCAAGCTCACTCGTCTAATGGACTTCAATGTCAATAGAAATTTGTAAACTAAATGTGAGATTGTAGTCCATCACAGGAGGGAGCTTGGAGCGGTGTCTACTTTATAACACACACAGGGACCAAGGGGAACAAAAGTAGCCACCCTCCAGAAGGAAGGACAGTGTCAGCACAAATTCAGAGATGATTTGAGGATCTACAGCTGAGTGATACACAAATAAGATACATTTTTTTAAAAAATAGTTAGGGTACTTGAAAGCATTTTAAAGATTTAACTCCTGAGTTTAGTGCCACTTTAACCTGCTTTAGAATTAACCTGCCTTTATCTAGGAAGTGAATAGAGCAGATAACAAATGGAAAAATTCAGTTGTGTGATGATTATACCTGGAGGAGTCATATCACTGATTCTGTATGCTACATATACAGTATGCATAAGAAGGTCAGCCTTGGCCACACACAGGCCAGATAAAAAAAGGAAACAAATGTTTTCATGTTACATTGTTAAAAAGTCACTAATCAGTATTTAATGATTCTGAACATGGACATTTTTTTTTCCCTTTCACTAGTATCTTTTTAATTACATTGATAACTGTGTCTCCTTTAATGAGACTTTACATAGCTATTATAAAACAGACATCAGCTATAAATACTATCTTTGATTCAGTTCATTAGTCATAGCAACATGTTTCCCAAATCCTCCTACAACAACTTCAACCACAAAAGCATTCTGGACAACTCGGCTTCAAATTTAATTAGAAAAGCAATACCTCCTGCCTGCCATACAGATAGATAATAGGGCAAGTCTCCGGCCAGATTTACACCGTACACTGTGTTAATGGTTACTAAGAAAATGTAATGGATTCATTGGAATTTCCTCACTTGCGTAGCTATTGATTTATTCATGAAATTTTTATTGCAATAAGTAAGATGTCATTAGGGATCCCATTTTTTCTGCAAGACTTACAGGGCTATTCTCAAAAGAGTAAGAGTTTGGAGAAGGCAGGAGAAGTGAACAATCTAGGACAACATAGCTCAACTGGAAAGTGAGCTGAATTGGAGAATTGTTCCCAATCAGCTATGTTGGTCTAGATTGTTCACTTTTCCTGCCTTCTCCAAACTCTTTACTCTTTTGAGAATAACCCTGCTAATGTAGGTTTTTAGTAGTATCCTTCTATAGACTTGTCAGTGTGTGTGTTAAGAGCGCTACTACTGTTTGAGTACAATTAAACAATCATGGAGTATAACAATAATATCTCACACTTAGGATGACCTGAATGCAAAATGACTCACTTTTAAGGTGTCCTGAGGAGCCCTGGAGGTGGTCCGATGGAACCCTTTGACAGATTTAGACAGGTGAAGCCCAGTGATGTGGACGGCTGAGGACATATACAGGTGAAACTCGAATAATTAGAAAATCGTGCAAAGTTCATTTATTTCACTAATGCAACTTAAAAGGTGAAACTAATATATGAGATAGACTCATTACATGCAAAGCAAGATAATTCAAGCCGTGATTTGTCATCATTGTGATGATTATGGCTTACAGCTCATGAAAACCCCAAGAACCCCAAATCCACAACCTCAAAAAAGTAGATTATTACATGCAATCAATAAAACAAGGATTGTACATAGAACAATATCGGACCTCTGAAAAGTAAAAGCATGCATATGTACTCAGTACTTGGTTTGGGCCCCTTTTGCAGCACTTACTGAAATTACTTTTGCACGATATTCTAATTATTCGAGTTTCACCTGTATATGCAGATATCTGTCGCAAGGGAACTCAGCTGGCCGGGCTGAGCCGTTGCGGTCAAAGACACTGTATAATTGTATGCTGTGTGACGGTAGCTGTCAGGTGCCGTCTCTCTCTGTCAGATGTCTCAGGGGATGGAGCGGCAAAGTCGTGGGGAACGAACTTCGGCTGGGACAGTAAAAAGGGTGTTGTACAGCAGTAGTGGGTGTTGGTATTAAAGGAAGAAAAGCGCTTGTCCGTGCTTTTCTGTAGACTTGTAACACACATACGGAAATCTACCTAACTAAGCAAAAGAATATATTTTGAAGCTGGACCTGTACTCAAATATTCTCTAAAAAGGAAACTCTACATTCCTTAGTCAAAAAGATATAATT